CGTGAAGAGTCTGGCCACCATAATGTAAACGTGAAGAGTCTGGCCACCATAATGTAAACGTGAAGAGTCTGGCCACCATAACGTAAGCGTGAAGAGTCGGGCCACCATAACGTAAGCGTGAAGAGTCAGGCCACCATAACATAAACATGAAGAGTCGGGCCACCATAATGTAAACGTGAAGAGTCGGGCCACCATAACATAAGGTGTACAGTTGATTTCAGCTCTGTCTGTCCATGTACTGTGTTGATTATTAGTACTTCCTTACTTTTTTCTACCTCTTAGTTTAAATGTATTTAAATGGTTGCCTTTGCCTATTCTTTTTAGGTCACCTGAGCTTTGCTCAAGTGACCTATTCTTATCGCTTTCCGTCCGTCGTCCGTTGTTCGTCGTCCGTCGTCCGTCATCCGTCGTTCGTCGTCCATCGTCCGTTGTCCGTCGTGCGTAAACTTTTTACATTTTCAACCTCTTCTCAAGAACCAGTGAATGGATTTTTTTCAAACTTGGTCAGAATCATCCTTGGTAGATGAGGCTACAAAATTGTAAAATTGGGATTCCTACCCCAATCCCTGGGGCCAGGGCGGGGCCCCAAAGGGAAAATTAACCAATATTTCAAAAATCTTCTTCTTCAGACTCAGAGGTTTTACTTAAATTGTAAATTTCAGGACCCCCGAGCTATCCATTCTCCCTTGGGGAGGGGGTAAAGTTTACTATAGTTTATATAGGGAAATATCACTTTTGGGTATATTTTGACAACTTTCTGTAGGAAATTATTTTTACTTGGTGAGAATTATCCTTGGAGGAAGATGGTTTCAAATTGTAAAATTGGGATTCCTGCCCCATCCCCAGGGGCTAGGGTGGGGCCCCAAAGGGAACATTTACCAATATTCTCAAATTCTTATCCTTTGATGACATGACAAGTATTGTATTTCACTTAGTTTACATGCTGATTTCCACATCACATCTAAACAATAAAATAAAGCTACCAGTACCTATGATATAACTCAGGTGACCGCTAAGGCCCCTGCGCCTCTTGTTATAATATTGAGTGCAGGAATATGTGGTCCAAAAAACAAAAGAGTTCTGAAGTAAAAAAAAAATCCCAGTGATAAGACCAAAAAAAACATGGTTTAAAAAAGAACAAAGATAGTTTGACCAGGTCATCTGGAAGGGTCAATGTTGATTGCTTTATCACCTATATATTCCATGTATTTAAATCTAGGGCAAGTCCAAATAAATTGTCATATTCTCAAAGGGATTACTACGTGAAAAACAGTAAAAACACAAGGCACATTATTGAACATAATAAAAAATAAAAAATTCATACACATCACAGAAGTCTGCATTTGGACCAGTCTTTGTAATACCTCTAGCACTCGGGTTCTTATCGTCACATGTTCACCTCAACAAGAGTCCATAATTGATAAATATTTATATCGCACAAGGAGATAGTTTATTCCTGTCCTGATGGTGACCATAAAACTTGCCTTTAATCGTCATAAGCCTGTATCTCTCCAAACCTTATTGTCAGTGGTTAAGTTGGGCAAAGTAATAACGTACTGAAAGTGTCCTAGGGTATATCACTGCCATCCTAGGGTATATCACTGCCACCCTAGGGTATATCCCTGCCATTCTAGGGTATATCACTGCCATCCTAGGGTATATCACTGCCAAACAGAGATCTTCATATCTGGGAATATCCATTACCGCTGACAATAATACTGCAGCAACTTCAGAAAGAATTATTTCATTTTGATAGGAAAATAGGAAAATGCATACTGTAAACTAGTATTCCAGGGTCTGGTTTGGTTTAAATCTTTTTATGATGCTTTCAGTTGTAATAACTGTCTGCAATTCAGTGAAAGTTTGGAATTTGTATCATTTTTATGTAATGTGACTTACTGTTATTTTATTGAATAAGAAAGTCTATATTTCTGCTTCCTTCTCTCATGAGTACTCATATCACATTGAGGGAAACTGATAATGGCTGCCATGTTCAGAGAGAAAAAATTGTTATGAAGCAACAAATGATTAATCTTTGGATTTGAAAACAGGAAGCAAACTGCTAATAATGACATAATAATTCTGTAATTAAAAAATATTTTTTTCAACACAGAGTATGCAGATGATTTTGTCTTGAAAATAATTCCAGAAAAAATAAATCTGTTCAAATATAACATTACATTGTACAAATGAAGTGTGTGGCCTCAATCTCGCAGAGAAAGAGGCTGTCCAAATAGGGGAAAAGGGAATAAATTGAAGGCCAAGGCAATTAATTATTGTTTAAATATGAACAGTACTGCCCCCATTTCAGCAGATTGGTAGGCCAGATATGAGATTAAGTGACAAATCTATAAAAGACTTATCTCAAAGTACTGGTAAAGGGATTTGAACCTTACTTAGTATGAAGCATCCTAGGGCCAGGGAAATGGGGTTATCAGACCACACAGTTTTATATATCGATATTTGTTTGATTGTTGTTTACTTTGTATAATTGCAGTTGAATACAGAATGGACCCAAATTGAAGTAATTGACCTAATAAATGATGGAACAGGACTGGGTTTTGGCATCATCGGTGGTCGTAGTACAGGAGTGGTGGTTAAAACCATTTTACCAGGTGGAGTGGCTGACTTGGTAAGTCTAACAGCACTTTGGGTGTCTGAGGGCAAAGAAGAATTACCTCAAGATTGTCCGAATGGTGTAGCAGCACTGTGTTAAAAGTTAAGGGCACCTAGTTCTATGATTGTTGAGTTTGTGTCTATGAGGGTGTAAACCACCGTTTCTTAGAGTTTTGCTTCTGTTTCCACAGAATGGACGACTTCACAGCGGGGACCATGTGCTGCAGATAGGTGATGTCAACGTGAGAGGTATGGGTTCTGAGCAAGTCGCCGCAGTCCTTCGTCAGTCGGGCACTCACGTGCGACTGATTGTGGCCCGGCCTGTGATGGAGCCATCCCCTATCCCCGTGCCTCATGCCCCAATCGTACCCACACATCAGCTGGAGAGCCACATTCAGCAGATCAACAGATTCCTGGAGGGCACAGACATCCAGGCTATGTCTGAGGATAACCTCCAACAGCAACAACAGCAACAACAACAACAGCAGCAGCAGCAGCAGCAGCAGCAGATGCAGCAACAACAGAGCATGGACGGACTTGTGCAAGTCCATATAGTAAGTATATGAGTCAAATAAAGAGAAAAGGTTATACAGTAAACCAGCAGTGTGCCATCAGTGATCCAGAAGAAAAGGAAGTTTTGTTTTCACCTATCTACCCTAATTTTTTATCTAGAGCTTAAGCTTAAACCATTGTGATTGTTGGCCAATGTTTCTGTAAACATATAAGCGACATTTTAAGAAATCTGCAGCCTTATATAACATATGTCAGTGCAATCATGTTTTTGCTTGGTATGTTAATCTATGATGATCCTTATTGCAATCCTCAATTTGAATATTAAGTACCAGTAACAAATACCTAAAGGAGTTCTATTATTATACACCACATCATCCTGAGACCCAAACATCTACCCAAGAGCCAGAATTTTCTTTAAAAAATAGTACGAAAAACTGCCAATATTTTTTTCTTTCTACAATCATACCTTGAAGTACTGGTATCTAAGAACTGATGCTTTTTGTCCTTACAGCCACCAGAGTTCCCCGAGGTTGAGTACTTTGACGTGGACCTAATGAAAGATGACCAGGGCTTGGGCATTACTATAGCTGGCTACGTAGGCCGGGAGAACTCCCCTGGTAGGTGATATTTGTTGTGGCCCTTGTGTCATTATAGCTGGCTACGTAGGCAGGCATAACTCCCCTGGTAGGTGATATTTGTTGTGGCCCTTGTGTCACTTTAGCTGGCTACGTAGGCCGGGAGAACTTCCGTGGTAGGTGATATTTGTTGTGACCCTTGTGTCACTTTAGCTGGGTACGTAGGCCGGGAGAACTCCCCTGGTAGGTGATATTTGTTGTGGCCCTTGTGTCATTATAGCTGGCTACGTAGGCAGGCATAACTCCCCTGGTAGGGGATATTTGTTGTGGCCCTTGTGTCATTATAGCTGGCTACGTAGGCAGGCAGAACTAAACTGGTAGGTGATATTTGTTGTGGCCCTTGTGTCACTTTAGCTGGCTACTGAGGCCGGGAGAACTCCCCTGGTAGGTGATATTTGTTGTGGCCCTTGTGTCACTTTAGCTGGCTACGTAGGAGGGCAGAACTCCCCCTGGTAGGTGATATTTGGTGTGGCCCTTGTGTCACTTTAGCTGGCTACGTAGGCGGGCAGAACTCCCCTTGGTAGGGGATATTTGTTGTGGCCCTTGTGTCACTTTACCTGGCTACGTAGGCCGGGAGAACTCCCCTGGTAGGTGATATTTGTTGTGGCCCTTGTGTCACTTTAGCTGGCTACGTGGCTGGGAGAACTCCCCTGGTAGGTGATATTTGTTGTGACCCTTGTGTCACTTTGATTGGCTACGTAGGCCGGGAGAACTCCCCTGGTAGGTGATATTTGTTGTGGCCCTTGTGTCACTTTAGCTGGCTACGTAGGCTGGGAGAACTCCCCTGGTAGGTGATATTTGTTGTGGCCCTTGTGTCACTTTAGCTGGCTACGTAGGCAGGCAGAACTCCCCTGGTAGGTGATATTTGTTGTGGCCCTTGTGTCATTATAGCTGGCTACGTAGGCAGGGAGAACTCCCCTGGTAGGTGATATTTGTTGTGACCCTTGTGTCACTTTAGCTGGCTACGTGGCTGGGAGAAATCCCCTGGTAGGTGATATTTGTTGTGGCCCTTGTGTCACTATAGCTGGCTACGTAGGCCGGGAGAACTCCCCTGGTAGATGATATTTGTTGTGACCCTTGTGTCACTTTAGCTGGCTAAGTAGGCCGGTAGAACTTCCCTGGTAGGTGATATTTGTTGTGACCCTTGTGTCACTTTAGCTGGCTACGTAGGCCGGGAGAACTCCCCTGGGAGATGATATTTGTTGTGACCCTTGTGTCACTTTAGCTGGCTACGTAGGCTGGGAGAACTCCCCTGGTAGGTGATATTTGTTGTGGCCTTTGTGTCACTTTAGCTGGGTACGTAGGCCAGGAGAACTCCCCTGGTAGGTGATATTTGTTGTGGCCTTTATGTCACTTTAGCTGGCTACGTAGGCCGGGAGAACTCCCCTGGTAGGTGATATTTGTTGTGGCCCTTGTGTCACTTTAGCTGGCTACGTAGGCCAGGAGAACTCCCCTGGTAGGTGATATTTGTTGTGACCCTTGTGTCACTTTAGCTGGGTACGTAGGCCGAGAGAACTCCCCTGGTAGGTGATATTTGTTGTGACCCTTGTGTCACTTTAGCTGGCTACGTAGGCCGCGAAAACTCCCCTGGTAGGTGATATTTGTTGTGGTCTTTATGTCACTTTAGCTGGTTACGTAGGCCGAGAGAACTCCCCTGGTAGGTGATATTTGTTGTGGTCCTTGTATCACTTTAGCTGGCTACGTAGGCCGGGCGAGCTCCCCTGGTAGGTGATATTTGTTGTGACCCTTGTGTCACTTTAGCTGGTTACGTAGGCCGGAAGAACTCCCCTGGTAGGTGATATTTGTTTTGACCCTTGTGTCACTTTAGCTGGCTACATAGGCTGGGAGAACTCCCCTGGTAGGTGATATTTGTTGTGGCCCTTGTGTCTCTTTAGCTGGCTACGTAGGCCCGGAGAGCTCCCCTGGTAGGTGATATTTGTTGTGGTCCTTGTGTCACTTTAGCTGGCTACGTAGGCCGGGAAAACTCCCCTGGTAGGTGATATTTGGTGTGGCCCTTGTGTCACTTTAGCTGGCTACGTAGGCCGGGAGAACTCCCCTGGTAGGCGATTAGCCCATGTGTCCCTATCACTGGCTACTAGTATATGGGCTGTGAGAAAGGTTTCGTAATTGTGCTTGGTTGGGCCTAGATGCAAGTATTACTGTCTCATAAAATAATACGGGTCATGAGAGCATTCAAGATACATAAGAAAATTGAAAAGATGTCTCTAAACTAATTAAGAAGGTAAATAGATTTTTGTAAAAGTTAAACAAAATAACTTTTTACATGCAAATAAACTGATGTTTTGTATATTTTTAGATGAACTCTGTGGAATATTTGTGAAAAGCATTGGTGAGGGAAGTGCTGCTGCTCAGGATGGCCGGATACAGGTTAACGACCAAATCATACAGGTGAGAACTCAGGTGTAAATCTGTCCATGCATAATTATTCCTTGTCAGTATGGAGGCATAAATATAATTTTTGTGTTTGGTCATATTTGTTTCATGCTAAAAGGACTTATGTAATTAAGTATGGAAATGTGCTTATACAATAAATATGTTATCACTGTTCAGATAGAATCTGCTATATATTGTATGGATTATTTATGCTATTCTATTTTTGCTGTTTTTACAGGATGGTGATAAGTGCATTAGCTATGGTTAAACAATAATTTCTGTCAGTTGGCAGATGAATTGATGACTATTTTTTATGCAAAATGACATTTCTTAGAACATGTCTATGAGCTTTTAAGTTTATCTTACTGAGTTATGGCTCTTTGTTCATTTTTATTCATCCAAAGATGAAGGACTATGAATTTCTTGCAATCCTTGCAACTTTGTCATTTTGTTATTGTCATTGTTTGGGTGAGTTATAAATTGAGGGTAGGTCACCATGGCCTTGAAAACATGGCAAAATCACTCAGAAATGTTTGTCTTGTTCACAAACAAATAGAAACGGATGACAAATACAGGCCCCATTGGACTCTTGTTAATGCAAGGAAAAGTCATAGATTACGTTTCCTGCTAAGAATAGTTTCTATTTTTTTGTTTCGTGTAGAGTTGAAATAGAAGAACATGAAAACCACGTTACAACCAATTCATACAGTTTCTATGAAACAGTTTAACCTTTATCATTTTAGACGCGCCATCATCGTTTTGTACAAGATGAACACTTTTTTGCCCCTGATGTTCCACTGTTTCCTTGTTTACAGGTAGACAACCAGGTGTTGACAGGATTTTCTAACCATGAGGCTGTAGAGGTTCTCCGTAAGACAGGACAGATGGTACACCTAAAACTTGCACGGTACCAGCATGGTCCGAAATTTGAGAAACTTCAACAGTACCTGTGTAAGTACTTTAGTTTATTCAAGTTTTTGTACTCTCTAAAAATTAGAAAATGTTTGTTAACCATACATATGCCCCCTTTTCCTGCTGTGATAGAAACAGGGTTGAATGTAAAGTCCAGCCAACTTAAAAAGTCAGTGAAGTGGAAAATATAGGTCACAGTGATCTATGTTTGATATACTGGTGTAATACTCCTGAAGATGTATGGAGATATGAAGTTAGATGATCGTTAGCTTTCTACATGTATTGTTTAGTATTGGAATAATGGAGCTTACTGTTTTACCAAGATATTGTATGGTTGGACAGATGGATGAACTTGTCCACCATGTTGTGGGGGCAAAATTAGCAATGTGCTTATTAAATCATTGTGATATTTATTTGTAATATAGATATGTGTATCATGCTTTGACACAGTGATAGTGTTGTAGACCACTCAAGGCTACAGACAAAGGTCACACAAAGGAACAATGCACAGGGGAGATATACCTTTGTGACCCTTTGATCACTTTTATTAATGCAATAAGGTTAAACACTAATGGCTAAAACTGAATTAGACATCACAGATCCAATAAAACCCCTACATCCTGATACCTATGTGGTAAAAAAAATGTATTTTATGTAGTAGGCCTATAAATTTCTGTGTGAGAATTTGAATGACATGATAAAAAGAATAGCTGTGTTTTGAGGGGGGGGGG